TCCGCCTCCAAGGGATACTACCTCGTGTTTCTTATTCCCGTGTTTCAAAACGTCCCCCCACTTCTGGGATCCCATCTTCTGCAACCACCTCTGCGGTTACCTCTTCCATAGTCACTCCTGTATCTAATTCTTTTGCTGTGCTAGGCTCAGACGTCCCTACTTCAACGCCTCAGTCTGATCTTGCTTCTTCGTGTTCTCCCTCACAAGCCTCAGTAGCGACGAGATCTCGTATGACACCTCCTCCTAATCGCCCCTCTACTTCTCAAAAGTCAGAAAAAGGTCCGTTAACACCTCCTACCCATCTTCTACCTCCTCATTTTACCTTCCCTGCCTCTGTACCTGGTTCTTCCCCTCTCACTGGCTCTGTTACAAGTGTAGAGGTACACCCTCCTCCTCATACTGTACCTTCCTCATCTGTTCCCTCCCAAGTTTCTTCCTCTTCTGCCACCTCCCAGGTTTCTGCCTCTTCTGTCCCCTTCTATGCTTCTCCAGTTCCCGCCACCCTTTCGCCCCCCCCTACCTTGGTACAGTCCATTACAGTTCCAATCTTTCCTCATCCTCCCCCTACCATTTCCAATATTGTCTCCCATACGACGTCTCTGAATTCCAAAACACTTGAAGCAATCTCTGAATATATTGCAGAGACCAAACCATCAATGGACACTGATCCACCCTCCGTTCCTTCTCTCTCCTCTGCTCCATCTGCGCAACTCCTTTCTTCACAGCGCACCATTCCTTCGCTGCTTGAACGTTTTCCACTGCCTCCGCATGTGGACTTTTCTAACCCCTCTAGTCCATAGGAACACTTACCTGCGGATTTCAGGTATCTTTATCATTGCCAATCATGGCCTATTTACAGTGGAATATACGCGACCTCAGGGGTAATTGGGGTGAGCTTCAGATGTTACTCTCCCAGTTTTCCCCTGTTGGTGTTTGCTTACAGGAACCAAAATTACACTCTGCTGTTATCTCTCCCATCTCAGGCTATAATTATTGTATTCTTCAGATCCTTTTCCTGATGGGACCTTTAATGAAAGTGCCCCTCTTCTACGCACTGATATTCCGTACCATCAGCTATTTGTTCGTACTTCACTGCATTACACAGCAGCCCGTATCCACTTGCATAGGTGGTATATGCTCTGTTCTTTATATCTCTCTCCTTCTCGGGCATTATCTATTCCGGATATTGCCTTTCTTGTTACGTCATTACCGCCACCAATTCTGTTACTTGGCGATTTTAATGCCCACCATTTCCTCTGGGGGGTCTCACTGTGATTCCCATGGCATTCAGTTAGAGGCTTTTCTTGCCACCCACCCCCTCCATGTTTTAAATACAGGTACTCACACCCATTTTGATCCTCGGAGTCACACTCTCTCTTGCGTCGATCTCTCAGTCTGCTCTTCCTCCGCCGTATTAGACTTCACTTGGTCTGTTCTCCCGGACTTACATGACAGCGATCATTTCCCAATCACTCTTACTTCCCCTCCATATTCACCGCCTCTTCGCATCCCACGCTGGCAATTTGATCAGGCAAACTGGAACCTTTACTCACATCTAACTGTTTTTAGAGAGGTTCCTTCTTCGTCCTCCATCGATGAGCTTTTACACCTCTTCTCGTCCTCTGTTTTAATCGCAGCTTCTAATTGTATACCCCAAACTTCGGGCAGGCATTCTCAGAAATGCGTGCCTTGGTGGTCTCCTGTTTGTGCTCATGCAGTACGTTTGAAACGCGCTGCATGGGGCAGGTACCAGTACAATAGAACCACAGAGAGACTTCTTGATTTTAAGTGGAAGCGTGCGATCGCTCGCCGTGTCATCCCTGACGCTAAACGCACTTGCTGGCGAGATTATGTCTCCACCATCACTTCTGCTTCCTCTATGAGTGCAGTCTGGAAAAAAGTACGAAAACTGAGTGGTAAATATTCTCCTGACCCGGCTCCTGTTCTACGGGTTGCCGGTGTTGATATAGCAAACCCACTAGATGTTGCCAATGAAATTGGCAGTCATCTGGTCCGTATTTCTCAGGGACTCCATCTATGCCCCTCATTTCTTTCCTCAAAGTCTGCCAGAGAGTTAGCACCCTTAGACTTTTCTTCACTCAGAGAAGAACAGTATAATGTGCCTTTTACACTTCAAGAACTGGAGGCAACACTCTCAGCTTGCCGATCATCGGCAGCTGGGCCCGACGACATTCATATTCGTATGCTACAACATTTACATCAGCCAGCCCTTGCAGTCCTATTACGCCTTTACAATCTTATTTGATCACAAGGAGTTTTTCCACAGCTGTGGAAATCCGCCATTGTTCTCCCTTTCCGCAAACCAGGCACTACGGGACATGAAGCCTCCCACTATCGTCCCATTGCACTTACCAGTGCAGTTTGCAAAGTGATGGAACGCCTAGTAAATAGACGTTTAGTGTGGTATTTAGAGACACATAACAGTCTCTCCACTCATTAATATGGCTTTCGTAAGGGACGTTCTACCATAGACCCCTTACTATGCTTGGATACGTATGTTCGTAATGCCTTTGCGAATAACCACTCAGTTATTGCCATATTTTTTGACCTTGAGAAGGCATATGACACAACTTGGAGGTATAATATTTTAGCCCTAGCCCACTCCTTAGGCCTTCGAGGCAATCTACCATCCTTCCTTAAGAACTTTTTAACTGACAGGCATTTCCGTGTTCGGGTTAATAATGTGCTCTCCCTGGACTTTATCCAAGCTGAAGGTGTCCCCCAGGGATGTGTTCTGAGCACAACACTTTTTCTCCTCGCTATTAATGATTTGGCCTCTAGTCTTCCATCAAATATTTGGTCATGCACTCTATGTTGATGACTTCGCTATTGCTGTGCAGGCGCTGACTGTCACCTCATTACAGTTTCTCTCCAGCATGCAGTCGACCGTGTTTCCAATTGGGCCACCACACATGGGTTTAAATTTTCCAGCACTAAAACCCACCAAATTACTTTCACTAGACGCTCTGTCGTCTCCGATCATCCTTTGTACCTCTATGGCTCCCGTATTCCTGAACGTGATACAGTCAAGTTTCTGGGCCTCCTCTTTGACCGTAGGTTATCCTGGAAACCTCACATTACCTCTCTGAAGGCAACCTGTCACAGCCGGCTGAACCTTCTTAAAACCCTTGCTCATCTTTCATTGGGAGCTGATCGTCGAACCCTCCTTCGCCTACATTCCACCCTCATTTTATCGAAACTTGATTATGGTGACCAGATCTATTCAGTGGCATCTCCTGCTACTCTCTCTAGCCTTAACCCCATTCATCACCAAGGATTACGTTTATGCCTTGGTGCTTTTCGCTCTTCCCCTGTCGAGAGCCTCTATGCAGAAGCGAACGTTCCATCCTTATCCGATCGCCGTGATGCTCATTGCCTTCGCTACTATGTACGCTCTCATGATCTCCGCAATCCTTCCATTTATAGAATGGTCACTGATATTAGTAGACATTCTTTATTTGTTCGCCGCCCCTGTTTACTCCATCCCTTCTCTCTTCGCCTTCATTCTATGTACATGTAGCATCTCACTTTTCCCTACCCCCCTGGGAAGTTCCAGTTGTTCGAGTTTGTTCTTTCTCTCCCTCTTACTCGAAAGCCCAACTGTCTACGGTCGCTTCCCGCTCTCTTTTTCTTGACCACTTTCACTCTCATTCTCATGCCATTGCTGTGTACACAGATGGCTCTAAGTCTTCTGACGGCGTAGGATTCGCAGCAGTGTTTCCAGACAGCGTCATACAAGGGCATTTACTATCTTCGGCTAGTATTTTTACTGCTGAATTGTATGCCATCCTTACAGCACTTATCCGTATTGCATCTATGCCTGTGTCATCATTTGTGGTTGTCTAAGACTCCCTTAGTGCTTTACAGGCTATACAGAAATTTGATACACCTCACCCCTTAGTCCTCCGTATCCAACTTTGGCTACGCCGCATCTTTACCAAGCATAAAGATATTGTTTTTTGTTGGGTCCCTGGTCATGTTGACGTACAGGGCAATGAACAGGCAGACACTGCTGCGCGGTCAGCAGTACATGACCTACCAGTTTCATATAGAGGTATTCCATTTACGGACTATTTTGTTGCAATATCTTCCCACCTTCACACCCATTGGCAACAACGTTGGTCTACTATGCTCGGCAACAAACTTCAATCTATTAAACCGAGTATAGGTTACTGGCCGTCTTCTTATCACCAGTGTCGAGGTTGAGAGACTACTTTCTCTCGTCTTCGCATTGGCCATACTCGTCTTACTCATGGATATCTCATGGAGAGGCGCCCTGCTCCTCTCTGTGGGAATTGCCAAGCTCCATTATCAGTCAGCCACATTCTGTTGGACTGCGCACTTTATCAACGAGCACGCAGAATTTACCTCCGTCGTTGTCTTCGCTCCGCTGCTCTCTCTTTACCTTCCCTTCTCGCTGATGGACCCACCTTTCATCCAGACTCTCTCATTGACTTTTTGACAACAACTGACTTTACTTCGCAAATTCTGATACCTTCAGCCCTTTCTACTTCAATCTCTTGCTCCCCTCTACCCCCGTATTATCCCCTGCCCCGCTGTTTTCTGTAACCTACTGATCATCCCTCCTCCCTTCTGCCATCCAATACCCTCGCTTCCTTCCCTACCCTGCAGCGCTGTATAGCCCTTGTGGCTTAGCGCTTCTTTTTGATTATAATAATAATAATATGTCCCTTTGTTTAAGCAACATATTGCACTGTGAAACTGGGATAGATTGGATTGTCGTTCAAGTATATCACTGTCTTAATCCAGCAAATATGATCAGGTATAATACTGAGTAAGATTGCCATGAAAAACTATTTACATCTAGTATTCCATGAAATTCTAGGATAACATTTAGTCAAGTGAAGACCTACATTAGTGAGTGAATAATTATAATAATTTGTTTTACTATTTATTAAATTAGTTCTTAAATAATCTTTATTGTGAATTATATGTATGTTGGACTTTAATCTCTTTAGGAAGCAGACTTTGCTCTTGGCCCCTTCAGTCTTTCTGCTGCCCGAGCTGAGATGGTAGACTTTATGTGGCCGATAACTGTACAGTACTCAAGGATTCTGGGTGGCAGAGGTCTGCCAGAGGTGGATCCCTGGGGTTTCCTGCTGCCTCTGGATATATTGGTGTGGGTGACTGTCTTGATGACATTGTTGGTACTGTTGTTCTTCATGTTCCTGGTGCTCTGGTGCTTGTCACATAATAATGTTAATACACATGACAACTGGAAAACTGATGCCTTCAGTTTACTTCGAGTTTTGTTGCAACAAGGTAAGAAATCCTTTAATATCTTATTACGTCAGAAACATTAACTAACATTACGAATTACATCTTTGATATTCTATATTATGCCTGTTTATATTATAGAATTTAAAATATGTCCATCATAATTTTATTTTAATAAAATACATTAAAGTAAAATGTTAATTAAAAACATGTAAAAGTAACAATATATATCCAGGTATCCATCGAAATAAATAAAGGCTAAAAAAGGAATTCTGTATATATTTTACTATTAGGTTTTCTTTTCAAAACTTAATGTACGTTCTGATGAGCGAACACTGGTCAGGGGAAACACATTTGTCTACATTACACAAAATTACTAAAATAACCCACTCTATTGCCACACACTCGTAAACTCACAAACAGCTCTAAACAGGTGGTCAATACTCTTATTAATAAACCAGAGTTTGATTTTCATGGAAGATCAAATAAACCCTTCTTTATTAAAACAAAGAGTATATACATCACAAATTCGCTGTCAACTCATTTAAAAGAAAGAGGTTATACACTTGTAAACTTTTACTAGCTAATTAAGTAAGTTAAGCAATAAGAAAAATTACCTTGAGCAGTGATCCCAGAGAGAGATCATCATCCCACCCTGCTGGTAAACACTGTTACTTATGTTCTCTCCACAGTTCACACAGGTCCCACTCTAGTAGCGGAGCCAGGCACCTCTTAGGGTGCACAAAATTAACACAAGATATAAGTTCTTCCCTGAGCATCACCATGAAATGAATACACAGTTACTTAACTTTTAACTCTGTGCTATCTTACCCATACTCTTTTTCATGAAATCGTGACGTCACTTATGAAATAAGAACATAAGAATGAAGGAACACTAAGGTAGGTCTACTGGCCCACCTAGTCAGGTCAGGTCCCATCCACGGCACGGCACGGCACGGCACGGCACGGCATCAGACTTATTAGCAAAAGCTAGTCAGGTGCAGCTCACACCCACCCACACCCACTCATGCATTTAACCAACCTATTTTTAAAACTACACAAAGTCTTAGCTTCTATGACGGTGCTCGAGAGTTTGCTCCACTGATCCTCAAATTTATTACCAAAGCAGTGCTTTCCTATATCCTGCTTGAATCTGACTTTTTCCAAATTGAAATTTAACCATTGCTGCGAGTCCTGTCTAGGCTAGATAGTTTTAGTAAGCTATTTACATTCCCTTTATTTATTTATTCCTGTTTTCCACTTATACACCTCAATTGCATCCCTCTAATTCCATGCCTTTCTAGAGAGTGCAGATTCAGGGCCCTCAGTCTCTCCTCATAGGGAATATTTCTAATACATGGGATCAACTTTGTCATCCTCCTTTATACATTTTCCAGTGCATTTATATCCATTCTGTAATACGGTGACCAGAATTGTGCAGCATAATCTAAATGAGGCCTAACCAAGGATATATAGTGCCATTACGATTTCATGAGTCATATATAGAGTTGAAGAACAACCTGAGGACTCCTATTATTTATGCTCCATGATGTGAAGCCAAGGATTCTGTTCACTTTTTTGCGATCACTTATGCACTGTTGTCTTTGTTTTAGATTACTGCTAACCAGAACTCCTTAATCTTTTTCACAATCAGTAATATTAAGACCTACATTATTTAGCATATATGTGGCATGAATATTTGCATTTGTCTATATTATTCTGCATCTGCCACTTCTCCGACAACTGCGTCAGTCTATTCAAATATTCCTTGAATGCTCTAATGTCCTCATTAGAATGAATAGGGTGACCAAATTTGGTGTCATCAGCAAACTTGCTTATGTCGCTATTTATTCCTTCATCTATATCGTTTATATAAATTGCGAACAACAAAGGGCCCAACACTAACCCCTGTGGAACATCACTCGTGACATTCCAACACTATGACTTCTCCCCATTGATGCAAACTCTCTTCTGCCTATCTGTTAACCACGCCTCTACCCAGAAAAAAACTTCTACTCCGTGTGCCTTAATTTTTCTCAGTTGCTTCTGATGTAGAATTCTATCGAAAGCCTTACTGAAGTCCATATACACAATATCATATTCATAACCATGATCTACCTCCTCAAATACCTTGGAGAAAAAAGTTAGTAAATTCGTAAGGCAGGAACGCTCCTGTGTAAAACCGTGCTGGGATTCATTAATCAATTTATGCCTTTAAAGATGGCTACAAATTACCTCGGCAATTATTGGTCTATAGTTCGAAGCTACGGACCTGTCTCCTGCTTTGTAAATAGGTTTTGCTTTTGCCATTTTACACTTGTCTGGCACTTAGCCAGTTTGTTGTGATATGTTGAAAAGACTAGCCAAAGGTTTGCTAAGCTCCTCTTTACATTTCTTTAAAACCCTTGCAAACAATTCATCTGGGTCTGGGATCTGTTTGATTTTGATTTCTCTATTTGTCTCAGGACTACGTCACTAGTTACCCTAATCGTGCGTCGTCTTGTTCTAAATAATTAATCATTTCCGGAATTTCACTAGTATTTTCCTGCGTAAAAACTGAGAGGAAATAAGATTTAAAAATTTCACGTATTTCCTTATCACTGTCAGTGATCTGACCTGAGTTATTTTTGAGTGGGCCAATCTTGTCCCTAATCTTACTTCTATATACCCGAAAGAAACTTTTTGGTTTAATCATCTAATCCCTAGCCACTTTATCCTCATAATCTCTTATCTTTTTGTATTCAGTTTTTTAAGTCTCTCTTTAATCGAATTTATTGATTTCTTAACAACCCATCCCCTCTTTTGATAAGCCTATATTTCCTCTCTTTTGATCAATGAGATGCTTTAATCTATTGTTTATCCGTATGGGATCATTTTTAGTTGATCTAAATTCCCTGCTAGGAACATAAGTTGTCTGGGCAGCTAGAACTATACTCTGAAAAATGTCATATTGGCAACCAACACCACCTACCTGATCCATAGCCAGGTCGTTCCAATTTAGCCCACCCAGGTAATTTCTCAGTCCCATGAAATCGGCCAAGAGGAAGTCTGGGACAGAGACTTGATTACAGTTATTTGGGTAATTCCATGATATACAGAAAATAAGTGATTTGTGATAGCTTTCCCCAAGCTCATCATTAACCTCAAAATTATTAATTAGTGATTCCTTGTTGGCAAGAACCAAATCAAGCAGATTGTTTCCTCTAGTTGGTTCTGTCACAAACTGTTTTAAAAAGCAATCCTGAATCCTATCAAGAAATCACTAGACTCAAGATTTCCTGCTATACTGTTCAAATCAATTTGTCTAAAGTTAAAATCTCCAATTAACACGACATTTTCAGATTTAGGGGCCTATAAGTCACACCCAAAATTAATTTGTCATGACCCTCGAGGAACTCTAGCCAAACAGATTCTGTGTCCGATGCTTCTAATCTTATATCATGTCTAACACAACAATTTAAATTATCACTGACATAAATCGCCACTCTATCACCCTTCCTGAGTGGGATAGTTTATTGCCCTGAATGTGGCATTCAGAAGGCATTTCTCTGTTTCAGGTTGAACCAAGTCTCTGTTATTGCAATAATATCTACATTACTTGAAAATGCAAGTAATCTTTGCTCATCTATCTTATTTCTTAGACTCCTACTATTTGTATAGTAAACCTTAAGGGAGCTAGTCACTCTCTGCTCTCTACTATCTCTTCTTGTTTGTCGATCAATTGTTTTGCCTTTACTAGCAACTTTATTTTGAATATTGTCTATTAAATATGTCCCTGAGGTATCCTGGTAATGTTTTGTTTTCAACCCTTATATTGTAGTTTGATTGTTTCCCATAAGGGGGATTACCAACAGACTCCTGGCAGTCTTCAAGCTGGCACTGGACAAGCACCTAAAATCGGTTCCTGATCAGCCGGGCTGTGGCTCGTACGTTGGTTTGCGTGCTGCCAGCAGCAACAGCCTGGTTGATCAGGCACTGATCCACCAGGAGGCCTGGTCACAGACAGGGCCGCGGGGGCGTTGACTCGCGGAACTCTCTCCAGGTAAACTCCAGGTAATACACCCTCATACCTCTATAATCTATAAGTTTAAAGTCCTAGACAAGTCAGCAATGGCCTCCTCAATCGAGTTTGCTAATGCAACCACTCCGGCCCGAGTGATGTATCCCATCCCTTGTATACATAACATGTTTGCCATTAAAATTTGTCCCAGTTATCAATGAATGCGATTGCACATTTCTTGCAGAACCTGTCTAGCCATTAATTTACACCAACTGCCCTAGACATCCATTCATTGCCCACTCCCCTTCTAGGCAAGATGCGACATATGAATGGGACCCCTCCGGTAGACCTAATTACATCTATGGCTGACTTATACTTATCCAGCAGCTCTTGTCTCCTGCCCTTCCCGATATCATTTCCACCAGCACTAAGGCAGATGATGGATTTGTTCTCATTACCTGATATAATATTATCCAAGTGTGTCCTCAAAGCGCGGAAATGAATTAAAAATCTATACATCACTTTCCCAAACTATAAACACCATATTTTATGTTCCTGAATTAAGAAAAGCATCATTTCAACAATGTAGTATACTGTATAACATCCCTTCCCCCCAACCAGATACAGCTAACAAAAGAGAAAGAGAAAAATTACACTAATCCTGGGGAAACAAGAATAAATATCCCTGAAGACAAGAAATCTGCATCGTTACAACACGCACTAATCATCGCCTTATTTTCCTTGGTGTACTTTTCTTGTACAAACAGAAAACAAACCAAAACCCATAAGTATAAACCCAACGCAACCACTGTCATCACAACATGAACAATACTAATCTGCAGACTTGTGAAACTTGTTTAACGTAGAAGTGTGCAGGTTTTACACCAAACTAGGTAACTTTCATGTTTTATAACCATACAATAACAGTTATTACTGTTACGGAAAACATTAATAACTGATGATATTGCTGGATAATAAATGTATTAATGTGTTCAGACTGCTTGGTGTCGGGCAGCTGGTGGTGGAAGCGTCTGATGTTTCTCTTGTGGATGATGATGATAGGACAAGTGCTGATCAAGAGTTACTCAGGCAACCTCATGTCCAGTCTGGCTGTGAAGTACATCAGGCAGCCCTACCAGACTCTCCGCGACCTCTTGGACGATACTTCTGCAATAATGATCTGGCAGAAGGACTCCCTTCTTGAGGCATTATTAAATGTATGAATATGGATTCAATAAGTACGTTGTACGATTAATTGCTGTATTGTTTATTAGCTATATTAGCAAGATTTAGTGATTCATTATGTTGTAGCTGCTAACAGTATCCATTAATTTGCACATTTATACCCACTCACACTTCTCTCTCTCTCTCTCTCTCTCTCTCTCTCTCTCTCTCTCTCTCTCTCTCTCTCTCTCTCTCTCTCTCTCTCTCTCTCTCTCTCTCTCTCTCTCTCTCTCTCTCTCTCTCTCTCTCTCTCTTCTCTCTCTCTCTCTCTCTCTCTCTCTCTCTCTCTCTCTCTCTCTCTCTCTCTCTCTCTCTCTCTCTCTCTCTCTCTCTCTCTCTCTCTCTCTCTCTCTCTCTTTCTCTCTCTCTCTCTCTCTCTCATGACTGATTCCCGGTAAAAGATGGAGTCAATGACTTTTTATTAGGGTAATGACCAGGGTACAAACTCTCGAGGAAGTCTTACTAATTACTCAATCATCCCTCAAACTGTGAGGTAAGGTTATTTTCCTGAGTTACTACACATATAGATAGGCAGTACTGAAAAGTGTTCTAAACAAAGAAATATGGATATCAAACTTCTAATGGGATAGATGACAAATTTACAAACAAAATAAGGTCTTGGTTATTTCTGTTGATTTTTTGAATCCCAACATAGAGACGGGGTAAATGATCTTCAGTGTTAATATCCTGACTTCGAACAGAGAAAAACTTACAATGCTATAATTACTTCATATTCTGCCCCCAAAATGACTGTGAAGGCTCTTTCAACGAATCATTAGTCTTTAAGACGACTACACGAACATACAGACGATGTAAGATAATGCTTATGGAGCTGGAAGAGTGATCTAGTAGCGACCAATGTACAGGCGGGGCCAGGAACTGTGACTCGATCCCTGCAACCACAACTAGGTGAGTACACAGACACAGACACAGACAGACACAGACACAGACACACAGACACACAGACACACAGACACACACACACACACACATACACACACAGGGGCAAGGAGCTCGGACTCGACCCCCGCAACCTCAACTAGGTGAGTACATGACTCAAGAAATCGTAATGACACGATTGCAAATAAACCATACCCCCGGCCGGGATTGAACCCGCGGTCATAGAGTCTCAAAACTCCAGCCCGTCGCGTTAGCCACTAGACCAGCTAGCCACAATAAGATTCATCCAACTAGGTATATTTCTACACCATAGGAAAGTTAGCACAGGCACCTCTGTGACCACAAATGCAAGTTTTTACAGACGAATCTCCAGCTAGCGTGGCCGTGACGAACTCTAGCTCAAGTCCCTTCACTGCCGTCAACATGACTCAAGAAATCGTAATGACACGATTGCAAATAAACCATACCCCCGGCCGGGATTGAACCGCGGTCATAGAGTCTCAAAACTCCAGCCCGTCGCGTTAGCCACTAGACCAGCTAGCCACAATAAGATTCATCCAACTAGGTATATTTCTACACGGCCACGCTAGCTGGAGATTCGTCTGTAAAAACTTGCATTTGTGGTCACAGAGGTGCCTGTGCTAACTTTCCTATGGTGTAGAAATATACCTAGTTGGATGAATCTTATTGTGGCTAGCTGGTCTAGTGGCTAACGCGACGGGCTGGAGTTTTGAGACTCTATGACCGCGGGTTCAATCCCGGCCGGGGGTATGGTTTAGGTGAGTACACACACGCTGATTAAGGGAAGGGAAGGAGATAAGTCCCCGGCAGAAGCAACATCAGACCATTGGGGATCGTGGAAATGTTAAAGGAAGCAGCACTGGAGATGCTTACTAGAACCCAGAGTAACGGAAGGAAATGAAATGGGAAGAGGAGAGGAAGTGGTCAATATTTATTCATTGGCTTTACGAGGCCGACGGGAAGATATACGAAGAAAAAGATAGGAGACTGTTCACGTTTACTCTCTCTCTCTCTCTCTCTCTCTCTCTCTCTCTCTCTCTCTCTCTCTCTTTTACACAGGGTTTGACAAGGTTAGGATCCCTAGCTTTATTGACAAGCTATTTACAGGTTAAGGATTCCTAACTTTATTGGCAAGTTAAGAGCTGTTACCTACATCAGTTCATTTGAAAGCATTTTTATTGTTATGAGACATACAAAAAGGGAACAGGATGAACTTGGAGCCATCTGTGCGCCAGCATTTTCATTTGATCAACTGACTTTATCTCGTTAACATCATTATGCTCTCTCTCTTTCTCTCCCTCTCTCTCTCTCTCCCAATCTACCTATCTGTCTCATGTTTTTTCTCAACAGTCTGGTATATATCGTGATGTATACGAGGCTGGGTCTAATAGACGAATCATGTACCAGACGCTGTTCCAGTTCTTCAACATCACCAAAACTCTGGTTCGTCAAGGCCGTTACGCCATCGTCCAGATTGAAATCTTGATCAACATGGTCATCAGCGATGACTTCTCTCATACAGGTTGTATAATTCATTTTACGTTAGAAAATTAAATGTTGTTAACCACTTTCCTTGAATCTTTTTATAGACATCACTGACATCACTCTGCTAACAACCAGAAAGTTTATTTGCTGTTAGAAGCATATTCTCGTATGCCTACTCAAAGTTCAAGCTAGTGCCTTCAAATTCCTTGTTAACCCACTAGAAATGATTTTTCTATGAACTACACGTACCGTACAGCTCCTTTTGTCCATCCCGAAGTTTTAAACGCTTACAAACAATCTTCAATCATTCTACATGCCTAAATTAGTTCAACTACCTCTTTTCTGTTTATTAATTGTAATTTCACTAATACACTAAGTTTTACTTTAAGCTTCTTTCTTATTATCATTTAAACCAATACTGGTCTCATACACGCCAGTTTCTCTGCCTACAGCCTCTGCCATGTAACAACATTTAAATGCTATTCTTTAAAAGTCATGTAAATGTTTCAGCACTAGAATTCTAATAAATACAAATCTACTCCCAAGAATGTCAATTTCCTTCAAATTTGTTCCTTATTTATCAAAAAGTTTTTAAAGGATATTTTTCCATATTCCGAAAGCCTGTCATTAATCTACATTCCTTTTCTACTTATACAGTCAAAGTAAACCACTTCTAATTCTAAAACTTTCAAGACTGTCAGTGTCACTGTAATATTTCTTAATAGCCTGGTCGCATTTCTAAGAATTCCAAAGGTAGAGGAATTTTGGTGTAAAACTTGTAAACCAAAGTTCGTAATATAATGCGAGCATGACGAGTCCAGAAATGTTATACCAAATCTGATTTTTCACTTTTTACCCATAACATCAAAAAATGTTTGCTTACTATTTTGTGATTAAATACTTGAACAATGTAAAGAGGAAATGACTGTGGAATAAGTAACATTAAATGTCTCTCAATTATGGCACTTCCGTAGTGAGTACCGATTTTATTTTATATGTGGAAAAAGATACTTATGTGCAGTTCAGGGCATTTATTAAAGGAAACGTTTCGCCACGAGTGGCTTCTTCAGTCCTAATATATAGAAAACTAAGAAAACGCATATATATAGTGGCAGGAGTTGGGTGAAGTGACGCGTGGGTAGAGGTTGTAGTAGTAGTAGTGGAACTAAGGAGGTGAGGCTAGAAAGAGACCTGCTGACATAATGTAACAGCAGTTCCCAGGATGGGTAATATCCTCTTGATTAGTAATTTTGAAATACTGTAACTACCGGATTTTTGCTTTATAGTGTTACTGACAGTGATTAGTGCAGCTTCAATTCATTTTCTCAGTCTTAAGTCGTCTTCTTTAATCACTAGTTTAGCTTCATTGAATTTCATGAGGTGTCCAACATCGTCCCTATGTTGAACACATGCGTTTTTGCGGTTATCATTTCTGCAAGCATTTTTGTGTTCTGCGATCCTAATGTCCAGAGATCTCTTGGTAGTAGGAACTCTGAAAAGTTCCTACTACCAAGGTGATGAAGTTCATACCTCCCAGTTCCTTAAAACTCAAATGTTTTTTTAATGAGAAGAGCACCTCCTCGTAACCCCCCTTCCCTCCTCTGTTCCATGTGTCTTTCTTTACGATCTGAAACCCTGTCAGGAAGATTGAATCGGTTATCATCCCTGTGAGCATGTTTCTGCTATTGCCATGGTGTGTCTGTATTTCGTCTACAGTTATTACAAGCTTTTAATACCAGAAGAGGACTCAGCATGATCTACTGATCCATGGCCACATCATAACTTCTCAAGATAGTTTACTTCATGCTCTTTGATCAACTGGTGATATTTAAACTTTCTTATAGAGTGTAGTGAGAAAATAGTTATATTTACTTCAGGACGCTGTGACTTCTATACATCCAGAGAGAGATTACTGCCCACCATTATGGCTTCGATAGCACAGAAGGGCAGCCCATTAATTCCTGCATTTAATAAAAGGTACTTAAAAAATCTTCTTGTTTCTTAAGAGAGTTTATTAACACTTGGACTCCTGAGTCGATAAGTTACTCTTCCCGGCCTGCCTAGGCACCCCTAGAAAACTACACAAATAAGGTACTATGCAAAAAACTACCTCTGTGAAAAAATAGTAAACATAGAAATGTCGTACCGAATAGGTAAAACTTGCGATTTTGGCTCGAACAGCAACGCTCTTCTTGCCGAATATGGCAAGCGAAAATTTGTGTATGCAATAATTTTGCAAAAATCATTCTGAACCTAACTAATATATATATATATATATATATATATATATATATATATATATATATATATATATATATATATATATATATATATATATATATATATATATATATATATATATATATATATATATATATATATACATGTAAGTAGGTGAGTTTTCTACAGAGCGGTCTCCTTTCCTGAGTGGTCTCCCATGGTACGGTGTCCTCTGAGCGGTCTCACACGGTACGGTCTTCTCCTCTCAGCGGTCTCCACAGTACGGTCTCCTCTGAGCGGACTCCTTTTCACACCTTTATGCTAATGACCTTGACCTCACCCTCGACCACCTCACCCTCGACCACCTCACCCTCGACCACTTCACCCTCGACCACCTCACCCTCGACCACCTCACCCTCATCCCCCCACCCACGCCCCACCCGCGCCCGCGCGCCCGTCCGCCCGCGCGCCAGCCCGACCGGCGGCAGCCCCGCACCCGCCCCGCGCCTTCTGCATCGCCTTCTGCAGCGTCGTCCAGATCGTCCCCCCCCCAATTTTTTTCCGATTTTTTCGAATTTTTTTGGAATTTCATTTTCTTGTGCTCTCCATTTCCTCGGATCAATTTTTTTGGGTTTCCCCCTATGGGTACCCCTCCCACCACCCACTTCTACCCCAAATATTCCTGCTCTACTTCCTTGGATCAACTTTTTCTCGATAATACAAAGACTCCATCTCCTTGGATCAAGTTTTTTGGGTTCCCCCCTATGGGGGTATGCATTCAAAATGGACTCCCCCCTCTGGGGTTTCGAATTTCTTATGATCTCCTAGGATCAAGTTTTTCTCGATATCAATAATACAAAAATTTTCCCCCCCACACCTCCCACCACCCACTTCCACCCCAAATATTCCTGCTCCATCTCCTCGGATCAACTCCCTCTAAACCATATATTTCTCCTCCACTTCCTTGGATCAAGTTTTTTTTTGGATTCCTCCCTATGGGGTTTCGAATTTCTTATGATCTCCTCGGATCAAGTTTTTCTCGATATCAACTTTTTTGAGGGTCTCCTTTCCACTTTCACCCCCATCCCAAATTTTTTCGATTTTTTTTTTAATTTCATTTTCTTATGATCTCCATCTCCTTGGATCAAGTTTTTTGGATTCCCCCCTCTGGGGGTAAGCATTCAAATGAACTCCTCCTATGGGGCATGGTACTTTCTCTTACTACAGGTCTAAACAAGTGTGACGTCACCCCACCTGTGTTTACTCGGCGGTCAGTGACGTCACGTGATAACCTCACACACACAGGCTGAATCTTGCCGACTTCCCCCTGTGTCAGTGACGTCACGTGATGACCACACACACACACACACACACACTTTTCTCAATATCTCTTAAGAAATATTCATCGACAACCTTTATCATCTCACTACAGAACAACCCCCAGATTACTTCGAACACTCTCATAAATCATTGAATACTCACAAAAAAATACCTTTGAACATTTCCAGACAACACCGAAACACTTCCAAAATATCATTTTGAATACTCCCAAATAAGATTTGACATCTCTAATTTATCTACACTTATATTATTTCATTAAATTACAACTCACTACCCAAACTCCTCCCTCAGTCTCCAGGCTTCACAACAGTATCACAAAAACTAACTCAAACACTTTACTTTGAACAACACCAAAAACACCATAAATTACCTTTGAATACTCCAAAAACATCATTCGAACACAGCTAAATCACCACTAAATACTCCCAGAACACCTTCATAAGTACTCTTGCGCATCATTTGAACACCTTCAAAAACACCTTTGAATAGCCTCAAAACACCATTTGAGTACTCCCAAATACACCACTGAATACTACTAAAACACCACTGAATACACTCAAAACACCACCAAAATCACCATAAACTAAGATCAACATCACAGACTAACACCAATTTTCACACAAATCCCCTCAAATCACTATAACCAAGACGATTACCAATTTCTACGAGTACACTCACCTCCAACTAAGATATAACATGAGCGCAAAAAACATGAACACAAACCAAACACACACGAACACTTACAACAGAATCATCTCTTTTTCGGTATCTCTAGTTCGACAACAACACCCACAACACCCACAACCCACAACACCCCACAACCCACAACACCCACAACAACAACCCACTTATAACATCTTTTTCGATATCTCTAGTTCGACAACAATACCCACAACCCTCATCACTTTCCAATTTATTCACAATTTTTCCTCTTTCGATACAAATTTTTCCCCTACTTTTTATTGAATCTTAAAATGTAATGCACATTCCTCCCTACATTACTAAAATTCTAATAAAATCCTCTCCATACTCATCTCCTTGTATCCACATAAATTAATATTATACTCACAACAACTAATCATCTCACTACCCAACTACTGCGACATGTTTCTACACCCTCTAATCTTTTCCAATGTATCATAACTTTTTACTTCCATAATTTCTTTTATAATATTCACACATTACCCTTATTTTCAGTAAAATCCCCCGGGTGGGGGCGTGGGTGGGGGGGCGTGGGGGTTGGTTGAGGGCGAGGTGGTCGAGGGTGAGGTCAAGGTCATTAGCATAAAGGTGTGAAAAGGAGTCCGCTCAGAGGAGACCGTACCGTGGAGACCGCTGAGAGGAGGAGACCATACCTTGGGAGACCGCTGAGAGGAGGAGACCATACCGTGGGAGACCGCTCAGGAAAGGAGACCGCTCTGTAGAAAACTCACCTACTATATATATATATATATATATATATATATATATATATATATATATATATATATATATATTATATATATATATATATATATATATATATATATATATATACATAACACATCGACGGTTTCCCACCAAAGTACGGTGGCCCGTTCTTCAGAGTGCAGGCACTGTACTTCTCATCTCCAGGACTCAAGTCCGGCCTGCCGGTTCCCCTGAATCCCTTCATAAATATTACCCTGCTCACACTCCAACAGCACGTCAAATCCTAAAAACCATTTGTCTCCATTTGCTCCTTTCTAACACGCTCACACATGCTTGCTGGAAATCAAAGCCCCTTGCACACAAAACCTACTTTACCTCCTACCCCCAACCTTTCCTAGGCCGACCTCTATGCCGCCTTCCCTCCACTACAGATTTATACTCTGTCGATGGCATTCTAATTTGTCCTATGTGTTTATATGTCTGACACACCTCAACAACCCCTCCTCTGCCCTCTGGATGATAGTTTTGGTAATCCCGTACCTCTTAATTCCGAAACTACGAATTATCTGCATTACATTCACACCACGCATTGCTCTCAGAATCGACATCTCCACTGCATCAAGCCTTCTCCTTGTTGAAACATTCTCCACCCATGCTTCACACCTATTTAAGAGCAATGGTATAACTGCACTCTCGTTCATTCCCCACTTTGCTTCCATGGACAAAGTTCTTTTTCTTCAGTGCACCATTCACCTTTTCCCCCTCGTCAAGTTTATGATTCACCTCATCTTTCATACACCCATCAACTGACACGTTCGATTTTAAATATCTGAATAGATTCACCTCCTCCATACTCTCTCCCTCCAATATGATATCCACTCTCTCGTTACCTACTTTTTTTTATCCTCATCACATTACCCTTTCTTTTACAGATCCTTCCAAACTCATCCATCAACCTCTGGAACTTCTCTTCAGAATCTCCCAAAAGCACAGTGTCATCAGCAAAGAGTAACTGTGAGAACTCCCACTTTGTGTTAGATTCTTTATCTTTTAACCCCAAACCTCTTGCCAACACCCGAGCATTCACTTCTCATACAATGCCATCTATAAATATATTGAACAATCATGGTGACATCACACATCCCTGTGTAAGGTCTTCTTTTACTTGGATATAATCTTCCTCCCTCCTACATACTCTAACCTGGGCCTCACTGTCCTCGAAAAAAACTTTTCACTGCTTTAAAAAAAATGAATACCCCAAAAACCTCTTTACCGTAATCTAAATACGTTTTACTGTAAACACCTGGTCCACACACCCCCTACCCATCCTAAAGCCTCCTTGTTCATCTGCTATCCTTCTCTCCCTCTTATTCTTAATTCTTTCAGTAATATATGTAACATACGCTTTACCAGGTATACTCATCAGACTTATTCCCCTATAATTTTTGCCCTCTCTTTTGTTCCTTTTGCCTGTTTACAAAGGGATTATTCATGCTCTCTGCCAAACTATAGTTGCCTTACCCTCTTTTATACATTTATTAAAGAAAAGCACTAACCAGTCCAAACTATATCACCACCTGCTTTTAACATTTTTATCTCTTTCCCACTAATCCCAGCTGCTCTACCCCCTTTCGCCCACTCACAACTCGCTCCTCCTCACTCTTAAAGGATGTTATTCCTCCTTGGCCTATACACGAAATCACAGCTTCCCTATATTCATAAACATTTAATAATTCCGCAAACTATTCCCTCCATCTTCCCGATACCTCTAACTCTCCGTTTAATAACTCTCCTCTCCTGTTTTTAACTATCAAATCCATCCTCAACTTATTAATCTCACTCCAAAACATTTTCTTATTTTCAATAAAATTTCTTGATAACAGCTCACCCACTCTCTCATTTGCTCTCTTTTTACATTGCTTCACCACTCTCTTAACCTCTCTTTTACTTTTCATATACTCCTCCCTCCACACATCACTTCTACATTGTGAAAACCTCTCTCATGCTAACATCTTGTAGGAGTGAGGAGGAGCTAGTCATGAGTGTGGGGAAAGTTCATGAGGCAGTGGGTAGAAATGGGGAAAAGCAGCTGGCATTGTTGGGATAAAGACAGAAATGTTAAAAGCAGGTGGGGATATAGGTATGGAGTGATTGGTGCTTTTAATAAATGTAAGGTACCTAGGGATTAGCAGAGAGCATACCTGAAGTGTACTTGGAGGGTACTCCGGAGATCAGCGCCCCAGCGGCCCGGTCCACGACCAGGCCACTCGGTGCATCAGGGCCTGCTCAACCAGGCTGTTACTGCTGGCCGCACGTAGTCCAACGTACGAACCACAGCCCGGCTGATCCAGTACCGACTTTAAAGTATCTGTCCAGCTCCTTCTTGAAGGCAGCCAGGGGCCTATTGGTAATTCCCCTTATGCATGGTGGGAGACTGTTGAACAGTCTTGGGCCCCGGACACTAATGGTGATTTCTTTTTGTGTACCAATAGCACCCCTACTTTTCATTGGGGGTATTTTGGACCGCCTGCCCAGTCTTTTACTTTCGTAGGGAATGATTTCTTTGTACAGATTGGGGACCATTCCTTCTAGGATATTCCAAGTGTAGATTATGATATATCAATCTCGCCTGCGTTCCAGCGAGTACAAGATAAGTGCTTCCAAGCGTTGCCAGTAGTTGAGGTGTTTGATAGAACTTTTAAGGTTCTCTGTACATTCTCTAGATCTACAATTTCACCTGTTTTGAATGGAGATGTTAATGTACAGCAATATTCCAGTCTAGAGAAAACATGTGATTTGAAAAGGATCATCATTGGCTTGGCATCTCTTGTTTCGAACGTTCTCATTACCCATTCTATCATTTTATTTTTGCAGTCGTGATCGTGGCACTGTTGTGATCCTTGAAAGTGAGATCCTCAGACATTACCATTCCCAGGTTCCTCACATTATTTTTCCGCTCAATTTTATGATCAGAGTTTGTAGAATACTCAGTTCTAGTTATTATTTCTTCCAGTTTTTCATAACGGAGTAGTTGGAATTTGTCTTCATTGAACATCATTTGTTTTCCTTGCCCATAAGAAAACTTGGTTTATATCTTCTTGGAGGTTAACCGTGTCCTCAGTAGATGACAGTCTCATACAGATCCTAGTATCGTCTGCAGAGCATGACACGGTTCTGTCAATGTCTGATATGAGGATTAGGAACAGGATGGGTTCGAGTACCGTGCATTGTGGAACAGAGCTTCTCAATATGGCAGTTTCCGATTTAACTCTGTTGACCACTACTCTTCGTGTTGGATTGGTTAGAAAGTTGAAGATCCATCTCCCCACTTTACCAGTTATTCCTTTAGCACTATTTTGTGCGATATTACGCCATGATCGTAGTCAAAGGCTTTTGCAAAGTCTGTACAGTATATTACATCTGCATTCTGTTTTTGACTCACGAAATCGTAAAGACACGATTGAAACAAACCATACCACGGGTATGGTTAATTCTGCGATGAATGGTTTGAAAAACCGACAAGTTGAAGATTGAGACACTATGCAACATATGGGAATCTTTATTCAGGAAACGTTTCGCCACACAGTGGCTTCATCAGTCCAATACAAGGTAGAAAAGCGATCCAGTAGTTGCGAGAGGCAGAAAAGACCTGTTCTAAACCCATGTTGCCCTGGATTGTATAGTTTTTGGGAATCCAAGTGTTTCGCAGTCATGCTTCTTAGCACTCTTTCAAAGATTTATATGATGTGGAACGTAAGAGCTATTGGTCAATAGTTCTTAGCTAATGCTTCTCTGCCACTGTTAGGAGTGGGTCTATATGCGTTGTTTTTAGTGACTGGAATTTCACCTATGTCTAAGTTCCTTCGCCATAGTATACTTAGGGCACGCGAATGAATTTGATAATTAAATAAAGGAGATGAGAGTAAATAATGGAGAGTTACAGGTATCGGGATGATGGAGGGAATATTTTTAGGAATTGTTAAATGCTGATCAAGATAGGGAACCTGTGATTTCGTGTATAGGTCAAGAGAAATAACATTTTGTTGGAGTGAGGAAGAGCCAGTTGTGAGTGTGAGGGAGGTTCGTGAGGAAGTGGGTAGAATGAAAGTGGGTAAGACAGCAGGGATTGATGGGATAAAGATAGAAATGATTAAAGTAGGTTGGGATATAGTTTTGGAATGGTTTGTGCTTTTATTTAATAAATGAATGGAAGAGGTTAAGGTACCTTGGAATTCACAGAGATCATGCATAGTTTTTTGTATAAAGGCAAATGGGACAAAAGAGAGTGCAAAAACTATATGGGAATAAGTTTGTTGAGTATACCTGGTAAATTATATGGAAGAGTTATTATTGAAAGAATTTAGAGTTAGTCGGAGAGTAGGATAGCAGATGAACAAGGAAACATTTGGAATGGTAGGGGGTGTGTAGACCAAGTGTTTACAATGGAACATAAAGATGACAAGTATTTAGATAAGGGTAAAGAGGTTTTTGTGGCATTTATGGTTTTAGAAAAGGCGAATGACAAGGTGGATAGGGGCAATGTGGCAGATGTTGCAAATATATTGAATAGGAGGTACGTTATTGAAAGCAGGGAAAAGTTTTGACGAGGATAGTGAGGCTCAGGTTTGAGTGTGTAGGAG